CCCCATCACCCCCCTCCGCCCTCTTCCCTGTCGCTTCCCTCCAAAAATGCTAACCCATTCAGGGACAGCAGTGGACTCAGACTTGCAGGTGAGAGGGACTTGTGGAAATATTAAGACCTAATTTTAGTCAGGAGAGACTTAAAGTAGTAAAAGAATAGAGAATAGTGTAAAAATAAGTTAATACCGTATTTAAAATATAACTGAACCGTTGGGAAAAAAAACTCAAACCACTTTTTTCCGGCCCTGTTATGTCAGCTTCACTAGAGTCCTGCAACGGGTCGGGTACCCGCGAAAAATACATAAATAAAAATAAACGGGTCGGGCGGATATTTTTTTAGTCCGGGCGGGTAGTTGGTGATTTTTTTTTATGCGTGTGTGTTGTTATAGACATCAGAAATGTTATATTAATAAGGCACTGGGTGCAGCGCAGCGTACAATAGCCTATGATGGGTTAACGGGTCGGGTTGCGGGTTAAATATCAACGGGTCGGGTCGGGTTCGGATTTGAATTAAAGATATCCGTTGGTAAAACTCGACCCATGCAGGTCTCTAAGCTACACTACATTCAGTATCGTTGCCATAGAAACAGACAACAGCGCCAATATATCAGAATTATACTAAAACACACGCAAATAATTTCCCACATAAAAAACAGGACTTTCAGTCCATTACAGTTTTCCGTTTTTAGAGGGTTGTTTATTTTGCGTTTATTAAGTGATGGCTGTGGTATATTAGCTTTCACTGCTATAAGCTTTCGCAGCAGTGATTGATTAATTTAAACACCTGCTCTGCTGATGGTCTATCGGAGTTGGTGTTTAGGTTGAACATAAAGAACACCTTTTATTTGAAGCTTCTTGTAGCTACTGTTTTAATCCCGGCTTTACTTAAAACTTTTTCCTGACTTTGATAGTGTTGACATTCAGTAGCAAGGGATAAGGTTAAAGAAAATGGATGGTTGAACATAGTCCGCTCTCCCAGATTCTATCAAATCAGTATTGATACCCTCAGGGGTGGATTTAGGAAATTTGGGGCCCTAGGCAACTGCCTAGTATTGCCTAATGGTAAATCCCCCCCCCCTGGATACCCTGCTGGTGGATGTTCTTGACAGAAAGACGGAGTTGCTTAATCATATTCTGCTTAAGGCCCCATAAGATCTTGTCCGAGTCCTGGTTTAAAAGTAAATTAGTTTTAAAAAGTGACCCAAAATTGACTGTCTGTTTAGATTTATGTGATATTTTTTGCACAAAATATATAAGTGAATATTGTAACAGTTATGTTTTCAACTGTAAGCATTAAATTGATAAATGTTATTCGCATTTTTTTGGCTTTATCCTTTCCAACAAAAAAAAAAAAGGGGTCGCGCAGGTAGCTCCCTTTCCTTATGAGCCGTCCCCACCAACTTTCAACACAAAGTTACACCCTTGTCTTAGACAACACCTTAGCAGGTGCACTGAAAAAATTTCCCCGCGCGCTATGCGCGCGCAATATCTTCTAGGGGCTGAGCCACCCTTGTCTCTTAAACCTAGAGACGCCACTGGCTGAGATGATAAAAAAAAAGTTGGTTGTGTTATCAGACTTTGGTTTCACTGGTTCCCGATACATTTTACAGATGACTGTGGTTTGTTTTTTGTCCAACTTGCCATGACTGAAATACTGCCAAACCGGCAAACTACAAAAACCCTTATTTGGAACAATTTCCTCCGCCTCTCCTTGCTGCGACATCTTCATGTGCTCTGTGTTGTGATTTGAGAGGGTGGCGCTTTGTGACGGCATGCCTGGGTCCGCGATTGCGATTGGTTGGGAGGAAGTAGTGACTAGCATAAACCTACATGATAGGCTACAATGAGAAGGAAGGAAAACTGCGTTTCTTTATCGAACTTTTATCGACCCTCTTTTTTTCTATTGCGCCACACGTCTATCGATCGATATATATCGTTATTGAATTATCGCCCAGCCCTATTTGAAACCTACTCCCACAGACTGCCACTCTGGGTCCCTGAGCAAGACCCTTAACCCCCCGACTGCTCCCTGGGAGCCCCACAATGGCAGCCCACTGCTCCCCAAGGGGATGGGTTAATGTAGAGTAAATTTCGTTGCGCTGTACTTGTGACAATGTAATGACAATAAAAACGCTGGAAAAAATCAATCAAAACCAGCTACATCAACCAGCTGCCATCTGAGAAAGATAAAATCGATTTTATCCACAGGCCACTATGGTCCTGAATGATGCAAAACATAACCAGGATACTGTTACTGCTCATATTCATTTTATTTTCCGTTTAGCGAAAACAGTAGCAGAAAATCCCCGAGAGGCTGGCCGGTGTCGCATACCCTGTCAGACCAGCATACCTATAGTCAATATGCACGCGCAAGACTTTCCGATTTGCGTTTATCCCTTCAGTTTTGTACGAAAAATAGACATGAAACTTCCTTGTCGGGCGTGTATCCCTTTAGTCGTGTACAAAAAGACTATTTAATTACTCACTTTTTTGGTGTTTTTTGAAGCGTATGACGATCTGACCTTAAATAGTTTTTTTTTTGCACATGACTAAAGGAATACACGCCCGGTGAGCTTTTTTAATGTATATTTTTTATACAAAACTGAAGGGATAAACTAAAGGGATAAATGGGTATTTATTATGGGTATGCTGATCTGACCAGGTATGCTGATCTGACAGAACACCGGCCTCAGGCAGCTACTTCCTAGTGACAGCTCACCATCAGTCTGTGGGGCTATGGAGGTGCTTCTGATCTTAATGTGGAAAAGCATTGAAAATGAAGCACAGGAAGCTTTGCCTAGCTCCTAGCTGGGCGGAGGGAGACATGCATCTGGCTGTTGTTGAGCTCGCTGTCTGAATGACGGCGTGCACTGATACGAACAGAGAGAAAATAGGACCAAGTGATAACGACGTGTGACTTTTTCCACTACAATTTTTTTGGGATGCAAAAATATCACTCTTTTGAACACATAATGTTTTGGGAAGAGAAAAGTTTTATTTCGCTGTTCCTAAAAACCTTCCGGACTACTTTCGGCTTGACCAAAACTGGACGATAACTCTGCTCACAGGACGCTGCCAGGGGTAAGTCAGTGTGATTGCATGCCACTGGTGATGGGGATGCCATACAGATTCATGTCAAAAATACCGAACTATCCCTTTAAGGGCGGATTATACTTCTGCAACCGCACCCATCAAATGTCGTTTGGGTCTGATCGCGAACCAGTTTTGCTGGTATGCTTCTATTGTACTTCCAAGCGGCACCATCAACCGTTCATCCTAGTTTTCCATTATTGTTATTACTCCTCGGTTTTTAAAAATGGCGCGCCCCGGCACCGAATTGAGAAGGACGACCAGACAGCACGCCAGGTAAGGCAGGCTTCTTCTCTCTCGAGCAAGTTTATTACTTTTGATTTATTTTCATTTTCTGTATAACAGCTGCAAATGAATGCATGCACTTAAACAATGCGCTTAACCGCATACTGATTGTGGACCAATCGTCCTTCGGACTGCCAGTACAAGCTTCCCACGCTTTCCTCCCTGTAAGAGGCACTACTTAAAGAGCTCAGTGGTAAGCACAGCGCTAGTTTTTGCATGCTTTTAGATTCTGTTTCTAATATTTATTTCTGATAGCCGCTGCTGTTTGTCCTGAGCCGACTGTTCGCCTGCGTTGTTCGCCTGTCAGCTGGGTTATCCGTCAGCTGCCTATCTGCCGTCCTGTTGCTGGCTTCATACCTGCCGCCCCGGCCGGCATAAAGCTGTGACTTCTAACACTCGTCCAGCGTGGCTGATTGGCGATCAGCTCAGACTTACTCTTTTGGTGCTGTGTGAGTGACGTCCGCCACAGCGGATCGGTTCCTCCCAGGATGGGCCTTAATTCTGGACTATACTGCTGCTAAATTGTGGTTTGAACTGTATTATGGGAATTGTACTCTGAATGTTGTTTTTTTACAGGAACGGTCAGCTCGTGGTGTTGGTGGTGGACTTCTGGGTGGTGGTTCCTCTTCTGGTTTGGTGCATGATTTTCTTTTGCTTTGCCTAGTTCTGTTTGCTGTGTTTATCTTTTTTTCTTTTTTGTACCCTACCCTGAATTTCACTCCTCACAGAGTTACGCTTGAACTGATTTTTAAATGTGAGGTTTTAATTTAGTCTTTTTGAATTAAACTAAAAGTTGTATAATAAAAGAGTTGACTGGTGAGATTGTCTCAAGCCTCATCTGTAGCGGGTCTGTGTGCCTTAATGGTAACATTTTAAGCGGAGTCATTAAAATCTATTAAATCTTTTCTTACCTGGTGTTTCTAAATTGAAATTACCCAAATCTTATCACACCTCTCCCGCCACACTAGAAAACGATAACATCACTCAGCGTCGGGAGCATCTGTAGCGTTAGCGTGTCTAATGAATGATCAAGTTTTACCTGATTGATAACAAAACTGAAAAAAATCTGTTTAAGGTGAACAAAGTAACTGCGAGGCCATGTTATAAAGCGGGAGAGCTGAGTAGCACTACAGCTAGCTGTGCTCAGAAGCTAACAGGTTAGCCTCTTTTAGCTTGGTCAGTTAGCCATTTTAAGCTACAGTACTTTTAGCTTTGTGTTAAAAACAACTGTTTGCCTTACTATAAGTAAAATAACTGTTTTGTCAAAAATCTCTATGAAAGGGATTTTTTTTAAGATCTTCCTCTGCGCTCAGATCTTGATAAAAGAATAAAAATAAGCTGAGACTTCTGTGTCAACATGGCAGAGCTCAGTCTGTCTTAGAACACAGTACTTTCCTTCAAGACTGACGATGATTGTTTTCTACTTGCGGCTACTTTAGATCGGCAATTTGAAATAGTAGCAAATATGGGTAATAATATGTTGAAACTCCAGAAGAGATTTGATCCTTAAGAAATGGGTTGAATAAAGTTTGTCCGAGTGGAGTTGCCATATGAGGACGTCATAAGAAGGGGCGGGGACCCCAGCAGATCTGGTACCTACACCAGAAAGTAAACTACCATTAAAGCCTCCGGCTGTGATGAAGAGTTTCCTACCTGTCCTTCTGCTGCTGAAGCATTTTGTGGTCTTTCTTCAGAGCGTCGTTCTGTTTGTTTAGAGACATGTGAGCCGCCTGCACCTCCTTCAGCAGACGCTCTGTTTCATTAAACCTGCAGTAAAAAAAATAAAAAAGACACATCAGATCAGGCATTTTCTTCAAGGAAAACAAGGTTTCGTCTTTAAGATCTGCATCATTAAGCAAACGTTACGACCAGAGCCTGAACTGCTTCAAGTTAACGGGATCTACTGATGGACATAAACAGAGATGTTTACATAGAAAAAAAATGTGAGGTTTACTCTGATGATCTGTCTGCCTGTTACCTGTTGAGCAGGGCGTTGTAGGCTCCTTTGAGAACTTGGTGTTCTTCAGAGCCCTTCTGCAGCCGGTCTTTGTGCTGCAGCAGCAGCTTCATGTCGGCTTTAGCTCGCTCCATCTCCAGCACCTGGTTACTCAGCTCGCCCTGCAGATCCTCCCGTCGACGCTCTGTATCCTTCAGCAGACCTGCCAGCTTCCGAGCCTGCAGAGAGGAGAGTGACTGCAGATTAAAAAAAAATAAAAAGATCTGAGCTTCCGCTCATGGTTCAGGTTAAGTCAAGATAATGAGGAGGCCTATTAAAGAGAAACCGAGGTAAACATGACCTGATAACATCTGATGACTCGTCTACTCATCCAGCATCAAACAGCGAAGATCTCATTCTTTCCCATCACCGCAAATACTGTCATAAGTGAATCTTAAAATAAGTGCATTTTCTATTAGTTTGAGCAGGTAAATAAGAAGATCTGCCCATAGAATGAGTATTTAAATGAGAATCATATTATTCACTTGATTACTTCAGGCTTGAGACCCAAAGACAAACTGCTGTGTCATCAGCACGCACCTTTTAAAAAACATAGGGGCTTAAATCAGGGCCTTGAGTGACACCATAGCTGGTCTAACGTATCCATGGCTACCAGTAATGTTTCACTGTCAGACAGCTGAACCAGATATAGACAGCATTATAAAGCTCAGCCAGACGATTCAGTCTGTTGGAGTACTGTATGGAAGGCAGGACTAAGGTGATTAGACCTGAATCAATAACCTTTAGAGCAGGGGGAACCAATTACAGATCAGAAAGTATCGAAAATCATCAACCAATAAAGGGCCGGAGACATTTTTTATATAATCTGTTACTTTAAACAGAATTTAACACTGAGATAAAATTAGGTGTTTATGCATCCATGTTTGACATTGAATTTTTATACAATTTTACAAAATTCAATGTATAAAAATTATATAAAACAATATATATTAGAAAAATTGAAAATTTTTCCATTTTAAAATCTAAAGTGTTCTTTTAAGTAGAGAGCAACAATCTTTCAGTTTGGTATATAGAAAATTTCCTGATTCGCATATTTTATAAAATACCTGAACGATCGTTTGTTTTGTTTTTTTCTATTTTCTGTCTTAATGTTGGCAGTGGGCTTTATGCTGCCCTGCAAGGCTTTAAACCTGGTTTGAATGGAGACTAAGTCATTCTAAAGCACATATCAAGGAGCTCATTTTGATCCTGCATCCATGTTTATTTTTGATTCTGTTTATGGTGGAGAATCCTGCTTCACAGCAGCAGGTTGACTAAACATCCTCTAAATGTTCAGGATCATCTTTGAGCACCATTTCACTTTTCTTTCAGCAGTTCACCACAGTTCTTCCAGCAGTCCACACTTTCTCTGCTCTCTTTTTCTCATCATCTTCTCCATGCTTTTCAATGATTATTGCAGTGAAAGAGAGACTAATACATGCTGGATTTTCCTGCAGTATGCGTCATCATTTTTAAAGCAGCGCCATTTTCCAAACGATTAATAAATGATTAAAAGCACACTAGTTCACCTGCATTATGTAAGGTTTACCTCTGCCTCAGCCTGAGCTCTCTGGAGTCGATACTCGGCGATGAGACGGTCGGCCTGAGAAAGAGCCAGAGCTTTGGCCTCTAGAAGCTCCTGGAGGCGACTCTCCTTAGACTGATGGGGAGCAATGAAATAAGGTTAGCTGAACCGGAGTTTTAAGGCAGATACCAAAACCTACTCCAACACTGCTGCAACATCTTTCCTTTTTTGTTAAACTTACAGCAAATCCAGCTAATTTCTACTCATATGTAACCGGGTGGTCTAGTGGGTGTATATTCCCACCCGTTTTGGGTCCTTGAACACATCACAGCTCCGTTTCTCTACCTTCACGTCTGCTTTACAGAATTGACAGGCTCATTAGCGTATATAGGCACCAGGTGTGCAAGCAAGCTATGAGAGTCGGCTTAGTTTGGTGTGCAGTAGATTCTTTTGAGCGTTGGGAGCCGTGCTGCTACACAGAATTTGGATCTTGGTATTCGCGCTGCTGGAAAAGTTTTCATGGAAGCGTCTGCATATATCCCTGTCTGAGGCTGATGAAGGTGCATTGTTTTCTTTTATTTCTGTATTTCCTGTATAATGGTCCGCAGACACTTTATTGGTTTTTTTTTGGTTGTTACAGATTGCTGCTGTTGCTTATTATGCTCTCACCATTGAGACCCCTTTTTTTGTTATGCTCTTGGTAAAAGGTTTTCTCTGGAGTTAGAGTTGTAGCACGAGCACTACAGAACCAGAACGACCATTTATTTCTTTTATAAATAAGCTGATTGGGCGCAGCTCTATAGGACGCAACGTGAGATTCGTGTTCTTCTAAATTAATATAATCTTGTTTGATCTTGTGTGCTACTAACGTGGTTTGCAGTGTTTTTCTAGAGTCTCAGATTGCTTCTTCTGTCATGGGTTCTTGTGCCTTATTGGATTTTAAAATAGAATAATAAAGTTGTCTTCCAATTGTAAAATAATCCATAAATAAAATATATAATTTGTATACTAAATCTGTTTCCTCATTTCAAGCCAGACTTACCTAGGTACATTTACTTGATAATACTTTCAGTGGTCTACTAGTTGGTTTAGGGCCACGTCCTCTGTCACAATCCGGGTAATTCCCCCGTGTTACACATAGACGTCAATGACCTCAGAGCTGACAGATTTTCCAAAAAGCCGAGAAACTATAAACTAACCTGCCGCCGCCTTTCATAAATGGCATTAAAGCCCAACTTTTAGAACAGCTTAGATGTGATAAATGTGAACTAATGCTATAGTCAGAGCAATAAGTCTACCAAACTGGAAGGTGAACACTCTGGAGGAAAAATACAAGTTGACGTTTGGTTGCTAGGCAACCGATGTCACTCTGGAAACATTACCGTTTAAAATCAGAATTTCGCAATTCAACATATTACCCTACTTTGTGTTGACATTTGATTTATCTAGTTGATTTTTCTAGTTTCGGCAGTAAAATAGAATAAAAATGCAGACTTTATTTCTCTGAGAATTCTTTAAAGCTACAGTGTGTAACTTTTAGCGACACCTAGCGGTCAGACTGCAGCAACATGAGCACCCCCCCCTACCGCTTCTCCCCCCCCCAACAGTATGGCGAGCGTTACGGGACAAAATGTCTTGGTGTTAAATGATACAAAGTAATATAAATCTTTGGAAAGAAACTTAGACATTATGATGTTTAAATATTCACAGGATTACTTGCGCTTTGTAATTTATTTATTTTTAATCGGTAAAAGATGAAGAATACCCATAATCAATTAAACATTATTCTTTATCTCACTAAAATCTACTCCAGATTAAATCTGGGTTATTGACCATCCTGTCCTTGCCAGATCTACACAGCTGGTAGGTATTTCTGTGCATGATTGAAAGAGTTGCTGTTTCAGTGAATCTAATGATGCATTTTCAGCTCTAAGAAGTTGTTAACTAGACACTGAAGCTGCTTAGTGAACTGAGCACAGGAAAAGGAGCAGATAATTAAAAACAGGGACAGACGATCATGGTAGAATATCCTGCATAAAAACAGAATAATCAGAGCTGCACAATAAAAGCTGCCTCAAAGCGCTTCACCAGTTCTCTGTACTGTACTTCTCCATATTTGATGCACACAATGACTGCAAAGTCATCCCAGGATCTCTGCAGGTGACAGGACTCTGTCTGGTACTGGAAGTCAGACGTGTACAGAGAAAGAAGCAATGGTGAGAGTAGAGTCCTCTGTGTTGCTCCTGTGCCACTGAATATTAGTGTAACAAACTGTGGTCTGTTTGCCAGGTCTTTGATCCAGGCAATTCTTGATGCCTCCATCAGGGGTTTTCTGAGGTTTCTCACAAAGTCAGTCAGGCTGAACCGTGTTAAATGCACTGGAGAAATCTACCGGTAAGTTCAATGAAACAGTGAGATAAAATAATGAATATCGCATTTAGAGGTTTAAACAATCTGATAAATATTTAATATGTTCAGTAAGTTTGAAAGTAAAGGACGACATTCATCTAAAATTAAATGTAAATTATATTGCCGTACGATATTTCTAAATGGGCTCAAACAATTAAGTGGAGTAATTGTAAATAGTTGATTATTTAAAAAATCATGGAATATGCAGACTTCCAACACATGCCATTAGCTGAAAGATCTCGGAGAGCAGTGCTAATACCAGAACTGTAAAAATAAATATATATGTATATATTTATAAAAATTTTGCATTTAAGAAGAAAAACTTTTTTGTCATTGAATAATCTCTGTCCAGAAGCCCTGATGGGGCAGTTTTAGCTTCACCTGGTTCAGATTCTCTAGAAAGGCATCTTGTGCTGTAGGATTATTAATCCATTATCCAAAGAAATTAGACAGTTTATCAATTAGCAAAAAAGTATTAGTTGCAGCCCTTTATCTACTGTAATCATTAGAAAATACTTTTCTAATAAGTTTTATATTAAAGAGACACAGAGTAAAGAAAAGGGATTGTTTATTCAGACATGAATTAATCACTTCAACCTATTAAAATCTGTAAGAAGAGAGAAGAACAAAGTCGCTGTCACAGAAGGCGAGGATTGTCCTCGCTGTAGTCATGTGGGTCTCCTTGGAAGGGCAGGCGTGGGGGGTGGTTACAGATTCCCATGAGGAAGATGATGATGGTTCCAAAGGTCATCACAGAAGTGATGAGGAAGAGGCAGAGATGGTCCACCGTACGAGCGATACCGCTCCAGTTGTCCTTCTCCTGTAGAGACAACAGCCTGGTTTCTTCTCTGATTGAAACTACTTTGCATTTTTCCAAAAACACCTCAAACCAATATTCTAAAAACTCACAGATACCTTACTTTGGTTCTGACCTCTGATTTGGGGAACATGCCTCTTAGCAAATACAGTACTGTACACACGCAGTGTAAACAAAATGAAATTTAGATGCATACAGCTTTTCATCAGTGAATGAGCAGCTTACAACAGTGAAATGAACATTTCCATTTATAAAGTTCATCAGTGATCAGATGTAACCAGTGTAGAAGAAAAGGAAAAGCAGTTTAAAGTCATGGTGCAAAAGGCATTGATATGGAAAGGTTCAGTGCTGTGCAAATAAATAAATATGGTGCCAAATGCAGTAGAGGGATTATAAAAAAAATCAGCCATGTTTGTAGTGCAAATTTGATGTCGAGTTTCAACAGATCAACATTCTGATGGCAGTGAGGAAAAAACTGTTGCATAATCTGCTTGACCTGCATTGAATGGGGTAGAAAAAGTACAAATTCCAACAAAAACTTAAATTCAGCCTTTTTCAGGCGTTTGGCCTCTCCTCACAGCTTTCCGCCGCTCAGGCTGTGAATCATCGGATCGTGTCGAAGTGTTTGTTCAGCTCCTCTTCTTTCTGCTTTATCTCTGCAGCTCCAGAGAAGACGCCTGCAACACGGTAAAGGTTCAGGTTTTGATTCAAAAGCTCAGGAATAAATAAAAAAATAGGATCATCAGGAATCTTTTATCAACACATTAAAGATATATATATATTTTTTGTTTTTGGAACATTATCTTGATAAAAACCAGCGGCTAAATCAACCTGCTGCCATCAGAAAAACGATTCAAAATGTTGAATACAATAGATTTTAATCCACAGGCCATTATGGTCCTGAATGATGCTAAATACACCAGGATACTGTTGCTGCTCATATTTATTTTATTATTATTATTATTGCCCCCCCACAAATAAAAAAAAAATTAATACTCGCTTTAAAACTGCTATAAAGATGCACTGAAAAGCAGAATTTATATTTTCAATGTCATTTTATTTTAGTATTTCTACAAAGGAAAATGATCAGAAAGTGAAAAAGTTAAATATAGATCAACTTTAAACTTTACATTTATATCCGAACAAAATAATAACAGCTTATTTAAAAAGAGGGGGAAAAAACAGCTGTATCTAAGTACCCATGAATGAATAGGAAAATAGGTTTAGGATTGTGAAAATATATTCCTATATTCTTATTTTTCACTCATCTATACGTGTAATGAAACATGTATTTTTTTTATGAGGCTACTTTAAGCTGCTCATGAGAATGATCTAGATTTATAGATGTCTTTTAATGGTTGTAATTTCATCTGAATATAAAAATCTAAGTGGGCTGCTGGTGGATCATCCGTTTAGATGATGAAGGAGGGACAAAGACAGTTATGTAATGTAAATATCCTGCTAAGCACTAAATTCCTGCTTTGTTTGACTCTTTACTGCTGGAAAATGAGGGAGAACATGAAGTTTATTTATTTCACTGCTGGAGTTTCTTTATATATTTGAAAACTATAGCACAGCTATTCTTTTCTTCTTCAAGCGTGCATAGAAACGCCTTAACTTTTGCCCCCCATCTGGCCCCCCTGTGTGCAGCACCCACATTGGATGGTTCACAGATCCTTCCTCCCAGCTGCTGTTAGAGTTTCGCCCCTTCCACACATTTCCCAGTTACTTACTGGGACCACAGTCCTGAGTTGAGGGAGAATTAGCGCCTTTTATACAGTACAGGTGCTGGTCATAAAATTAGAATATCATGAACAAGTAGATTGATTTCAGTAATTCCATTTAAAAAGTGAAACTTGTATATTATATTCATACATTACATACAAACTCATATATTTCAGATGTTTATTTTGTTTAATTTTGATGATTACAAATGACAACAAATGAAAATCTCAAATTCATCATATCAGAAAATTAGAATATTACTGAAGACCAATAAAAACAAAGGATTTATAGAAATGTTGGCCAACTGAAAAGTATGAACATGAAAAGTATGAGCATGTACAGCACTCAGTATTTAGTTGGGCCTCCTTTGGCCTGTATTACTGCAGCAATGCGGCGTGGCATGGAGTCGATCAGTCTGTGGCACTGCTCAGGTGTTATGATAGCCCAGGTTGCTCTAATAGTGGCTTTTAGCTCTTCTGAATTGTTGGGTCTGGTGTATTGCATCTTCTTCTTCACAATACCCCATAGATTTTCTATGGGGTTAAGGTCAGGAGAGTTTGCTGGCCAATTAAGAACAGGGATACCATGGTCCTTCAACCAGGTACTGGTAGCTTTGGCACTGTGTGCAGGTGCCAAGTCCTGTTGGAAAATGAAATCTGCATCTCCAAAAAGTTGGTCAGCTGCAGGAAGCATGAAGTGCTCTAAAACTTCCTGGTATGTGGCTGCGTTGACCCTGGACCTCAGAAAACACAATGGACCAACACCAGCAGATGACATGGCACCCCAAACCATCACTGACTGTGGAAACTTTACACTGGACTTCAAGCAACGTGGATGAAGTGCCTCTCTTCTTTTCCTCCAGACTCTGGGACCTTGATTTCCAAAGGAAATGCAAAATTTACTTTCATCAGAGAACATGACTTTGGACCACTCACCAGCAGTCCAGTCCTGTTTCTCTTTAGCCCAGGCAAGACGCTTCTGACGCTGTCTGTGGTTCAAGAGTGGCTTGACACAAGGAATGCGACAGCAGAAACCCATGTCTTTCATACGTCTGTGTGTGGTGGTTCTTGAAGCACTCACTCCAGCTGCAGTCCACTCTTTGTGAATCTCCCCCACATTTTTGAAGGGGTTTTGTTTCACAATCCTCTCCAGGGTGCGGTTATCTCTCTTGCTTGTACACTTTTTTCGACCACATCTTTTCCTTCCCTTCGCCTCTCTATTAATGTGCTTGGACACTGAGCTCTGTGAACAGCCAGCCTCTTTAGCGATGACCTTTTGTGTCTTGCCCTCCTTGTGCAAGGTGTCGATGGTCGTCTTTTGGACAACTGTCAAGTCAGCAGTCTTCCCCATGATTGTGTAGCCTATAGAACTAGACTGAAAGACCATTTAAAGGCTTTTGCAGGTGGTTTGAGTTAATTAGCTGATTAGAGTGTGGCACCAGGGGCCATCAATTTTGAACCTTTTCACAATATTCTAATTTTCTGATATGATGAATTTGAGATTTTCATTTGTTGTCATTTGTAATCATCAAAATTAAACAAAATAAACATCTGAAATATATGAGTTTGTATGTAATGTATGAATATAATATACAAGTTTCACTTTTTAAATGGAATTACTGAAATCAATCTACTTTTTCATGATATTCTAATTTTATGACCAGCACCTGTACATGCAGGTTAATCCTATTAAAATAGCGCTGGCTCTGTTCACACTTAAACCAGTTATAGGTGAAATGAATGTACTTAAAACTGCCTGCAGGTGGCAGTAATGCAAAGAATAATGACAGATGATAAAGATTACTAACAAAAATACTTAAAAGAAACTAGCATTTTACATACTTGCTTTCTTTTTCTATGATTTAATCTTTGAGTTCCAAATATCAAACATTACAGGCTAGATGTGATATATATAGTATTTTTCTGGCTATATAGACATATATATAGAGCCCCTTCTTCTTTTTTACTATTGGAGCTGATATAACGAGTACATTTCTCCACTGGGAGATCAATAAAATCAACCAAAGAAGTCATAGAGCCAGCATCATATTACAGGCCAGAGAATGGCAGAAAAATACAACAAATCAAAACTAAATAAATAAAAATAGATTAAAAGGAATAGAACGGTATCCAGCGAGAGGATCTAGACTGAGCAGACTGGAAGAAGGTGAGGAGTAGTGAGAACTGCAGAGAGGACCATCGGGGCTCCTCCATTACAGACGTTTCCTCCCAGTGCTGCATGTCCCGCGCCCATAGCATTATAACTGACCCCTCACCCCCCCCACCATGGACTGTTCTCCCTGCTGCCTTCTGGCGAGACGCTTCGAAGCATTGGGTGCAGGGCCAGCAGCAGGTTCCAGAACAGCTTCTTCCCCGCTGCCATTAGACTGCTGAATGTTGTATAAAAAGGGGTTTAAAAAAAAAAAAAAAAAGCGCTGAATGTTGGAAAACTGTTAATCATTCCCCAGTCTTATGTTTACATTTGATCTCTGCTTCACTTTAGAATTGGTAATGACAAGGGAGCTGTACTCAACGAAATTTCCTTTTGCATACACTCAGACTTTGAACGGACTCTTAAACCCCTCTTCTCCTTTTATTTCTTTAATTTTGCTTATTTTCGGTAGTGTTTAGTGTTTTGCTTAGTTATTAGATATAAAACTGTGTGATTGTAGCTAATAAAGGCACCATTGTAATTTAATTTGGGGTCTTTTGTGTTTATTTTACACAGTGAATAATTCATCACTCAGGCTGGATTCATTCTTCTTTCAGTAGCATCCGAATAAACAGAGACACATTTATTTGGTTGGTGATTAATAACGTTGCTAAGAGCCATAGCCTAAATTACTAAATTGGTGAAAGACAACTGGATTTTTAACACCAGGATTCAGGAGTCTAACTCTTTTAGGTAAGGGGCTAAAACCCTGGTCAGTAAGCAAGTTAAGATAAGATAATAAATAACCAGTTTTACCCAGCGGCGGCTGGTGGACTTTTCTCCAGGGGGGGCTATAAATTCAAAATACAGTGGGGACTGGTTGGAAATGGACGGTTTCCTGCGTGATTCCTGTGTGATTCCCACGTGAATCACGTTGTATTTCCTGAGGCCAGTTTTTTTATTTCAAAAAGAACTGCAATGTACCCGGACAACCACCAGGTGGCGCTTGGGACCTCTGCCGTGCTGAGGGTGACGTTTGTGGGCCTGCAGTCAACTGAAAAGCAGGTTTATTGGGGATCTTGGTGTGATACTGTGCTATTTTATTTTGTTTTTGATTAAAATAAAGTTAATGAATTAATTTAACATAAGATTATGCAGTCAAGTGACTGCATAATCTTATTTTATGAAAATGGTTGCATAGTTATAGATACACCTCCGATCTTATCTGAGAACTGTTATTTCTATTTATCTGCATCGCTATTATTTAATGAAAAATAAAATTAATTAAGTTGGAGCCGGGGATACGGACTGTAGCGCAACCAGAGAAAGGCGACAGAGACAGTGCTGCGGCTGGTGATGTTGAAATTAAAATCATATCCAAAGTTGATTCCTCATTAAGATAAGCCAAAGTTATTCAAAAGGGTATGTAAGAAAATATATTTTCTTTAGTTTTGTAAAATATAAGTGCCGTTGAAAGCTTTGTTTTTGTGTGTTACTTTCTTGCCGTTCAATACGTGACACCCCTCCCAGTCTGGTCAAGTAGCAGACTGGGAGGGCTGTCACATGTTGCGAACTTATAGCGCAGTGGTTAAGCTGAGTGGTGTGTAGACTAACAGCTTGTGGGTTCAATCCCAACTGTGGCTGAGTTGCCTTAAATGTTTTTTTTTTTTTTTTTATATCGCTTTTTTATAAAGTAATGAAAGTAAGAATGTAAAGTAATGAAACCAGGTTTTCTATTTTTGAAACAACAATTGGAGTTATTCGTTGGACATTCACGCATGAGTCTCCCATGTATAAAAAG